AAAGAAGAGAACTAGTCTCCAACCTTTTATTCTTAAAATTCAAAGTTATGATAATCTGTCAGAGAGGGCCAGGGTACAGAAAGATGGAATGAGAGGCCTGGCCATGGTGTTGAGTCAACAAGGGGAAAGATGGTTCTAAATTTCTGGGATGCCAATAAGGACCCCATTCTCATCCAGCCCTCCAAGACTCGGGATTGTGCCCTCGGGAAAGTGGCAGTGGAGGGAATATAAAGAGCTATACTTTTGAGGTTCTGGTTCACTTTGTTATGAAGCTCTCTTGCTTCAACTCAGACAATGCTTCGTTGATACAGGTGCATCTAAAATGCTACATACACTTAGGAACACAGGCCAGTTTCACTGCAAAGCTCTCTTGGCTAAACATAACACTTGAGAGTAGTATATTCCTTCTTCCTCAAAGAATCAACATAGCCTGGACAGGAATCTCCCCTACCACAAGTACTAGTAGCAGGAGCAGAAGACTTAGTTAGCTCCAGTCATATCTATTCTCTCTTTCAGCATCAGCAATGCCAGCTAGGCAGAAAGTGGTTTAGACTTTCCTCATGAAAGTTGTGACAATCAGCGTCCTAGTTTAGGAAAACGATAGCACATTTCAAAGCAACCAATCTCTAATGGTGGTAGCATTCTCCAACCTAAAGGTGTATATATCTGAATTCAGGCTTCAGACAGAGACAGATATATACATTCTTGCACCTTCCCCCTGGGGTAGTATCAGAGTAGGACTAGTAGAGAGACAGAATTTTCAATATTGCCCAAAAACAACAAGGCCACCCCCACAGTTGTGTCAGTAGAGACTATGTGAGGAGCCAGAACTCCCATCTCTATCCAGCAGTAATGAGATGTCACCCACCTCAAGTTGCAGTGAATGGTGAGTGGGGAACCTGGACTTCTATTTCCACCTGGCAGTAAGGAGGTTTACCCTCCCTTTCCCTAGTAAAGCAGTGTCAGAGAAAGCCAACTAAAAACGAAAGGTTTAAAAAGGAAATCTCATAACATAAAAAAAGTCCAGGTTTCAATAAAAAATCACTCATTATATCAAGAACCAAGGAGATCTCAAACTGAAGGAAAAGAGACAATCAACAGACGCCAATATCAAGATGACACAGATGTTAGAATTATCTGACAAAGATTTTAAAGTAGCCACGATAAAAATGGTTCAATGAGCAGGCACATACTTGAAACAAATGAAAAAATTGAGCACCTCAGCAAAGAAACAGAAAGTTTCAGCAAAGAATTAAAAGATATAAAGAAGAAATTTTAGAACTAAAAAAAACATAATAACTGAAATAAAAAGCTCAGTGAACAGACTCAGCAGTTGAATGGAGGGGAGAGAGGAAAGAATTGATGAGCTAAAAGACAGCAGTAGAAATCACTCAATAAACAACACAGAAAAAGTAAACTGAAAAAAACGAACAGAGTCTCATGGACCTGTAGAAATATAAAAAAAGATCTAACATTTGTGTCATCAGAGTCTCAGAGGAAGAGAAAGATAGCATGGCTAAAAAGGTACCCAAAGAAATAATGGCTGAACATTCCCCAAATTTTTAGCAAGAGACATTAATCTATAGATCCAAGAAAATAAATGAACCTCAAACAGGATAAAACCAAAGAAATCCATGTCAAGACACATCATAATCAAACTTCTGAAAACTAAAGATAAAGAAAATTCTTGAAAGCAGCCAAAGAAAAACAACACCTTACCAATAGGGAAAAAGAAAAATTTGAATGACAGGATTTCCGTCAGAAATCATGGATGCAGGCCGGCCCCGTGGTTTAGCGGTTGTGTGTGTGCACTCCGCTGCTGGCGGCCTGGGTTCGGATCCTGGGCGCGCACCGATGCACCGCTTCTCCGGCCATGCTGAGGCCACGTCCCACATACAGCAACTAGAAGGATGTGCAGCTATGACATACAACTATCTACTGGGGCTTTGGGGGAAAAAATAAATAAATAAAATTAAAAAAAAAAACGAAATCATGGATGCTAAAAGGAAATGGCACAATATTTTTCAAATGCTGAAAGAAAAGAATTGTCAACTCAAAATCCCATTCTCAGAAAAAATATTCTTCAGAAATGAAGCGGAAATCAAGATGTTCTCAGAGGAAAGAAAACTAAGAGAATTTGTTGCCAGTAGACCTATGAATGGCTAAAGGAAGTTCTTTAAACAGAAAGGAAAAGATAAAACAAAGAACTCTAGAATATCAGGAAGGAAGAAAGAAAATGGTATGCCAAAATATGGGTAAATATAGTAGGTCTTCCTTCTCCTCTTGAGTTTTTTAATTATGTTTGATGGTTGAAGCAAAAATTATAATACTGTCTGATGCGGTTTTAAATATATGTAGAGGAACTATTTAAGACAATTATATCACAAATGGGGGAGGGTAAAGGGACATAAAAGAAGATAAGGTTTCTATACTTCACTTGAACTGGTAAATGATGACACCAGTAGACTGTGATAAGTTATGTACATATATTGTCACACCTGGGGCAACCACTACAAAAGCTATACAAAGAGATACACTCTAAAACACTATAGATAAATCAAAATTGAATTCTAAAAATGGGCAGAAGATTTGAATACATAGTTCACCAAACATATATGAATGGCTAGTAAGTATGTGCAAATATACTCAATATTATTAGTCATTAGGGAAATGCAAAATTAAAACCACAATGAGATACCACTACACTTATTATAATGGCTATAACCAAAAAGATAATACCAAGTGTTGATAAAGATGTGAAGAAACTAGAATCCTCATATATTGATGGTGAGAATGAAAATGGTATAGACACTTTGGAAAACAGTTTGGCAATTTCTTAAAAAGCTAAACACAGAGGCCAGCCCCATGGCCTTGTGGTTAAATTTGGCATGCTCCGCTCTGGCGGCCAGGGTTTGGTTCCTGGGCATAGAGCTACACCACTCGTCAGTGGCCATGCTGTGGCAGTGACCCACACACAAAATAGAGGAAGATTGGCACAGATGTTAGCTCAGGGCGAATCTTCCTCAGGAAAAAAAAAAAGCTAAACATAAATTTACCTTACAGACTAGCAATTTTTTTCCTACGAATCTACCCAAGAGAAATAAAGGCATAGGCCCACAGAAAGATGTGCATGCAAATGTTAATTTCTACATTATTCATAACAGTCCCAAATTTAAAATAATCAAAAGTCCACAAACTGGTGAACCATCAACAAAATGGAGTATATCCATAAAATATAATATGGGTTTACTTAGCAATAAAAAGGAATGAACTACTAATACATACTATAATGTGAATTAACCTCAAAAATATTATGCAAAGTGAAAGAAGTCAGGCATAAAAGACTATATGTTATATGATTTAATTTATATTAAATGTCCAAAAAAGGCAAATGTATAGAGACAGAAAGCAGATCAGTGGTTGTCTGGCAATGGGGGTGGAGATAAACTGCAAATTGGCATAACAGAATTTTTAGGAGTGATGGAAATGTTGCAAAACTGGATTGTGTCTACTCCTGGGTGTATATCCAAAAGAATTGACTGCAGGAGCTCAAAGAGATATTTGTATGCCCATGTTCATAGCAGCACTATTCACAATAGCCAAGAGGAGGAAGCAACACAAGTGTCCTTTGATGGATGAATGGATAAACAAAATGTGGTATATACATACAATGGAATATTATTTGGCATGAAAAAGGAAAGAAATTCTGACACATGGTACAACATGGATGAAACTTTTTTTTTTTTTAATCAATTCATGGATGAAGCTTGACAGCATTATCATAAGTGAAATAAGCCAGTCACAAAAGACAAATACTGTATGATTACAATCAGGTATCTGGAGTGGACAAATTCACAGAAACAGAAGGTAGAATGATGGTTGCCAGAAGCTGGAGGGGCAAGAATGGGTAGTTGTTGTTTAAAGGGTATAAAATTTCAGTTTTGTAAGATGAAAAAGTTCTGAAGATTAGTTGCACAACAATGTGAATATACTTAACACTAACATTACTGAACTGTACACTTAGAAATGGTTAAAATGACAAATTTTATATTATATGTTAGTTACCACAATTAAAAATAAATTTAAAAAATAGTATAATAGAAAAAGAAAAAAAGAGAAAGAGTCAGCTGTGACCAAAATACTCACTACCTTACAAAACTGCAATGAAACGACAACTGAATGAATTGGTGAATGAATGATTGCATGGTGAAGCATTCAAGAAATTGATTTGCTAGTAGTGTCTTTGAGAAATCCAGACACTTAAGCACTTACATTCATCAGATATGACAAATGATAATGTAGCTTTTAACTGAGACTCTTCATCTAGGTATAAAAGGAAGTCTCTTCCTTTGGATTAATTTTTCCTTATCTGAGAAATCTTTTGGGAAGAGACAAAAAGCTTATCTTTCTTTTTTAGCATATGAATAAACAGAAGGAAATAACAGCAGGCCTTAATATCTTTAATTTCTCATTTTAATTTTGCTGAAAAACATTTAATTATTTGTATAAAAAAACAAATAAATCACTGCAAGCAAAAAAAACTAGATTGTGGTGATGGTTGAATAACTACAAATTTAACAAAAATCAATGCATGGGAGAATTTTATGTATGTAAATTATACCTCAATAGAACTATTTTTTAAAATGTTCTAAAACAAAAGTAAACCAAACTAGTATTTCATTCAAATAAGCTCCTACAAAAAATTAAAAATCAAATCACCCATCAATTGCTAATAATGGGGCTAATTACCTATTTGACCTCCTCATTATCATTACTATTACTGTACATTTATGTAGCAATTTTCACTTTGTAAAATCCACATAACTCTGTGATGAGCAAATTAGCTGTTATTACCCTGATATAGCAAGTTTTTAAAAAACTGGCAAATGGCTTGCCTAAGGGTTTCAGGACTATTAAGTTCTATCCAAAGAGCAAACTCAGTTCAGTTGAACCTAACTGCTCTTTCTTCCAAATCATTTTAAAATAAATTTCCTACCTACCACCATATTCAGCAAGACTTTGTTCTTTGGAGAGAGCACTCACAAAGTCATCTAACTTCACCATTCCATTTTCTGTAAAACAAAGAATTTAGATTAAAAATTCCATTGTATTTTTGCACAGAAGGTAAATTCACATTTTCATACAACTATGATAAAAATTACTTATCCTTCACTTTATCATCATCCTATTTCTCCTTCATATGCTGTCTCCCTAGATAAGTCTTTCTAAATTAGGTCAGTTCATTTCATTTCAACAATTACTGAGGGCATACTAGTGCCAAGAACTATGCGAGGCACCAAGGATACAAAAATAAGTAAGATATAGTCATAGTCCATGCTTTTTCAATATCTATTACAAAGTGCAAAGGACTGAGTTAAGTACTCAGTTCTTGATAGATATAGGAAAAAGGAAAAGTGCCCATATAGAAGGACCATGAGAAAGTTAAGGAGTCTGTTTCACATTATAATGAAAACCCAGTCAATACGCTATCCATGAAGACACCGTGACAATACTACCTAGCCCTGACAGATCCAAGTATCCCCATCCCTACCCCTAGTAACCAGCTGGTCCAAACTACCTATTTTTAGATACAAACCCTCCACAGTGATCATACCAATTCTAATAAGCAGTGGAAAGGGCTCAATAATTTTAGGTAGCAGCCACTCCTCAGAATTTTTTTAATCAGATCTTCTTTCCTATTTGCCTTAGCTAAGAAATTTTGCTCAAGTTCTAAGAATTCACTTCTAATGTTATTCCGAAGTCAGTTTTTCCCCAAAATGTTGCCCCTGCCCTCTCCTCAACTGAACTTCCTCTGCAATTGTTACTTAATGATAAAATAACTTCTCTAATATAAAAACCCTTCCTGAAAACTTAAACTCTGCCTTGAACTTAGGCTAGTGACTGGGATATGCCATTTAACATCTAAATGCTAACTGCCTGCCTTGATTATTTAAGTATCAGTAGCCCTACATTCCTAGCTATGGTATTCTCTCTACATTTTGGAATCTCCAATTATTTGTCTTTGGATCCCCAGGTTATTCGCTTAGAGATTTTTGTACCCCTTGTATGTTATGGTCTTACCGACTGAACCTCCCTACAACTGGATCAGCCTTCCCTAGTACCTATCCCACACTAGAAGGCATAGCTAGGGATACTGATGAAGAGCCTTAATGAAACAATTCTGAGATATGAAAGGCCTAGTCCCTCTAAGCCGCTCCATTAGATCAGACTTTCTAGGAGTTTTTTTTATTACTACTTATATTTGTTCTTTCTGAATCTTCTTTGGAATGGCCCATTCTGTTCCATTCCTAGTGGAGAGCTTACTCCAACATTTAATACTATCCCATAAAAGTATCTAATTTTCTCCAAAAGTTTGGTATTATCATCTCACCATTTCTAGTAGTGTCTGTCACAATCTTCTTGAATTCTTTATCTGATAAAGTAATTCCTATTGAAGGCAAAATGAACTGAAGTTCTTCTGCAGCAATGTAATTTTCTTGGAGTTTACTGACAGCTTCACAAACACTTTCTAAACGTACAAAATGTGGGGGACTATTCAGCAACAGAATTTATGTATCTTAAGCAATAATTGGCACCTAAAATCTCTGTCTAGTAAGCAGAAAGCAAGTTTTATCTGCTTAATATTACCTTATAGAAGGACTGCTTTTCTCTCCATATTTGTGTTGTATCTTACATTACACTTAATCTTTCTCTTATAGCTCAAACACAAAACCGTCTTGAAATTCTATAAACATTTATAAACTACTTATTTGGAGGAACAGCCTGTTCCAGTGGCCCAGCCAATGCTGCTTGGTTCTGATTAAAATATAAGGAATAAGTCCAAGAGATCAAAACACCAATATGTTTTGTTTAAATCCAGGATTCTAAGCAAAAATTGAGAATTCTTCCCCTTCCCATCACTTTACTCTACCATGCTTTCAGTTCACAACCTTCAAAATCATAAAATCCTAAAAGCAGATAAACATGGCCATCATGAGCCTCCTAATATGATGCACTGAGATGGATAAAATATCACTTCTGTGGTATTCTGATTAAAAATGCATAACCTGAATTTATTCACGCAGAAATATAAGGAAAACCCAAAATAAGGGACATTATACAAAAGAACTAGTCAACGCTCTTCAAAAGTGTCAAAGTCATGAAAGATTGAGAAATCATCCCAGATTGCGGGAGACTAAAGACACATGACAAATAAATGTAATATGTCATCCTGGATGAGATTGTGGACCAGAAAAAGGACATTCATGGAACAACTGTCAAAATTTGAATAAAGTCTTCAGATTAGTAAATAATGTTGCATCAGTGTTAATTTCCTGGTTTAGATCAAGCACAGTGGTTATATAGGATCTTAACACTTGGGAAAATTAGATGAAGAGTATATAGGAATGTTTTCACTTGCCTGTAATTCTTATGAATTTAAAATTATTTAAAAATGAAAAGTTAAAATGTTTTTAAAATGTAAATCAAGTGGCAGTCACATTTCATAGATGCTCAACCACCATCAATTTATTTGGAGAAGTTATACCGGATAAACTATTTCATACTTCTCCATATACAGAACATTAAGTATGGCAGTGGTAGGTGACATCATTTAATTTTAGTGACTCCAGGAAAGTAGATAACCACTTTCTTCTACAGGCCTCTTCTACCCACTAGCTAAATGCCCACTACTCCATTATTTCTTTAACCAGGGCTTTAATCCTTATTGAAATACAAAGAACTCAGAAATAGAAATGAGGCACAGAGTAACAGCAGCGAATCAGTAAGGCAATCAGAATGAACACCTGTGCCTCCTTAATAGATCATATTCCTTTTCAACTGACTTATTTAAAGTATGCATTAGTGTATAAGAATCACTAATTTTTCACTAAGCATTCATCTTAATTACAATTAATACTAAATGCAATAAAAAGGTCAGTAAGTTTCTTTAAAGAAAATAAATATAACTTGAGTAACTTCAGGCAAGGACTACAGGAAGGGGAGTGTTTAATTAGGTTCCATACACAGTACTTCTGTGATATAAGTAGCACAGAAGGGGGAAAACATATTGGTTGAGAAACCACTGCTCATCTTTGAGGAAGACCATAAAGCCTGAGATGTATAATATTAATTATTTTCTCTTGATACTCCCACATCCATAAGAGAGAACACCTGAAGTACTATGGATATAATATATTTAAATTACGGAACACTGAGCAAAAATTTCGTATAGACTTCTTATGTACTTGTTTAAATAAATTACAAAATACGCATTTCCAAAGGAAAACAAGCCCTCTACTTTCTAGGGAACCTGAGTAACTCCAATTAATCACTGAATAAGCTTCTCAGCCAAAGTTAGGCTCCCCAAAAAGGGAGCATGTGGAAAGGAACAACCATCAAAACCACAATATTGTATCCATTAGCCTACGTAGCAGAAGTGGTGGTTACCATTTGACAATTGAAATGCCTACAACTATCTAATAACTGATGAATTCAGCTCATTCCCGTGATGACTCAAGAACTCAAGGACCTAGATTTTGACCTATATATATAGATACTGACCGAGAGCATTAACTACACTTTTTTCCTTAGATGAAACCTGTTTTAGGAGCCTGGAACGCCTTCTCACAGCTGGCTTCTGAAGCTTTGGGATACTAAAAATATCACTTTTATCCAGAGACTTTTTGAGGCTTGTAATATTCTTCAAGTTTTGTGGTTTAGACTTTGAGTCATGAATTGCAATCTTCTGTGAACTTCTCTTAAAGTTTACACCATCCTTTGAATATGGTTCCTGGAATCCTACATCACTGCTTTCAACTCCATCCAGGAATTTTCTTATTTGCAAAGTATTTTTTGACCTTTTAAATTCAAAGTCATCATTCTCTTCCATAATTTTATGATATTTTGGGCTTTTCGTATTTAACTTTTGGGATAATGATGGTTCAGACTGTCTAGAAGAGAAAATGCTTTTCTTCCTATATTGTAGATAACATCTTGATACATTTGATAACTTTCTGTTCAAAGTAGTTTCATCCAAGCCTGATCCTTCCATAATTGCTAAGCAAGAGAAACATACTCAATTATTTCATCTACCTATACAATCTGTAATATTTTTTAAAAAATAATAACCAAGTCCTCATGAAAGCTATTCAAGAAATTATCAGTCGCCTAAATACACAAAACAAGGTTAAGTTGAAAAAACAGAGCTGATGACCAAAAAGATTGAACTATTAACTAGGCTTATTATAATCTGCTGGTTTAATATATTTAAATACTTCCATCCAAAGCTCTTCAAAGTTACACTGAATCTAAAGTGATATCCTACTGAAGCACAAGGTTCTCATTCCCTACTCTTTTGCAATTTAGAAAGATAATAGACTAATAAGCTAATACAGATACAAATCCCTTAGTTATGAGGGTCAGAACTATGAGGAGGAGAGAACTATGAAATTTTTATTTATACAGTTAAAATACAAATAATTTCTCTCCTAAAGATTCTCAGTACTTGTGGGGAAAAAATAACTTCATATATAAAATAATATCTTCAGAAAAATATTAATACAGTGTCCCAACCGGGGCTTCATTTACAAAATTAATCTGATGGCTCAGAATAGTACCTTACATTTGAATAACACATTTTAAAGTATCTCAAGTGTTATAATACTTGATCCTCAAAACAACTCTATAAGATTGCCAAGCTCCTATAAAATCAAAGAAAACAAGAGACTTCAATACAGTAGCAGTACAATCTTGACTATGAAGACATTTCACTTAAAGAAAATGCAAAGTTTCTTAGTTTACTCTGTATCAGAATGAACAACTGAATGAAAATATTTGGATTTTAAACATCTGGAAATTTTTTAAATTAATTTATTTTTTAAATGACATATAACATTGTATTCATTTTAGGTATAAAAAGTCTAGACATCTTTTAAAAATGGTAACATGGATCTTTAAGTGCTATCTATCAAAAAAGAAATAGGGGGGCCAGTCCGGTAGCGTAGTGGCTAAGTTTGCGCACTCCACTTTGGTGGCCCGGGGTTCACAGGTTCGGATCCTGCACCACTCATCAAGCCATACTGTGGCAGGTGTCCCACATATAAAGTAGAGGAAGAAAAAGCACAGATATTAGCCCAGAGCCAATCTTCCTCAGGAAAAAGAGGAGAATTGGCAACAGATGTTAGCTCAGGGCTAATCTTCCTCACACACACACAAAAAAAACTAATACCTTAAAAAAGAAAAGAAGTAGGCTAGCGAATGGGTGAAAAAATGAAACCTTTGACATTTCTTCTTTGGGCGAAGACACCATAATAGGGACCAACTTTACCCTCCAGCCTTAAACCACTAAAAAATTGGACAAGATATTCCAATTGAAGTGGTAAAATATTTATTTTAGTATACTGTAAAAGGTTAGGTATGTATATTGTAATCCTTAGACTAACCACTGAAAAATGCAGAAATATAGTCAAAATATATAGACACAAATTTTAAAAGAATAATAAAAAATGTTCATGAAAAACAAAAGAAGGCACAAAATGGTTGAAAAACAGAGGGAAAAAGAGAAAACAATAAAATGGTATACCTATATCTGAACATATAGGTAATTACATTAAATATAAATGGTCTAAACACTCCAATTGAAAGACAGAAATTATAAGAATGAACACAAAAACATGACTCAACTTTGTGTGATTTACAAAATACTTCAAATATGATGATATAGGAAGATTAAAAGTAAAAGGATGGAAAACATGTACTATGTAAATACTAATCAAAAGAAAAGTGGAGTGGTTATATTAATAACAGAAAGAGTAAACTTCAGAGCAAGGAAAATTACCAATGATTACATACATATTACTATTGATAAAAGAGTCAATTCACCAAAAAGACATAACTATCCTAAATGTGAATGCAAGTAACAACAGAGCTTCAAAATACGTGAACGAAAATCTGACAAAACTGAAAGGAGAATTAGACAAATCCACAACTACATTTGGAGATAATGCTCCTTTCTCAGTAATAGAACTAGTAGAAAGTCAGGAAAGATACAGAAGAAATGAATGACATAAATGATTAGAATTATGCATGGGAGTGTGTATGTGATTATCAATAATATCTATACAGGAAAAGAAAAATAAGTGAAAATCTTCTATACCAGAGACAAAATTAGAATTCAAAATAAACTTTAAAACTTTCAGGTAATGCTGGAAAACTGAAGAGCCTTCAAAAACCCCATTAAAACTAAAAGAATTTTTTAAACACCATAAATCTATAATAACAAAAAGAAACAACTGTATCAAAATTTTGGAAGCTGGCAAGCTGATGAACTTAGTAGACCTGAAAATTCTGAATCCTAAGCCAGAATGGAGAAAGTCAAGAAGCAACCCAATTCATAACACAAAACCTCCAAATGCTCAAAATTAGTGGCATTTAGTTACCTGCGAAAGTGAGGTTAAGAGTAAAGCTAAAAATAAAGGATTCGTTAAAAGTCCATTTAAGTAGTAATTAGATACCTACATTCCCTTCACACAGTCAGATATTGACCTTCTCCCACTCCAGCAGAAGACTGACAACTCATCAGAGAGGGTTAAACACAAGGTCTCTGAATCAGGGAATACTAAACACAATAGATGGTAGGAGTATTATATGGAGAATGAGGAGGAAGGGTTATATTACTATTACTACTAAATAATGGGAATTCCAGTTCTTTTGTCTCATTAAACATCTGGAACTCTGGCAAGAAAACCTATACCCTCCAGGAAGGATATTAGAAGCTTCTTCTCTGAACACTCTGACCATCTCGAAAGCAAAAAAAATCCTAAAGATAGTGTTATGAAGGGTCTTCTAGGAAAACAGCCCAGCCAGATCACCCAATAGTAGGGTTTCTTGACCTCAGCAGTAGTGGCATTTGGGGATTAATAGAATTAAAGAATAATATCTTAAGAATTAAAGATAATTCTTTATTGAGAGGGGTTGTTCAGTGCATTGTAGGATATTTAGAAGCATCCCTGGCCTCTAATTACTTGATGCCAGTAACACAAGTTGTGATAACCAAAAATGTCTCCATGTTGTCAAATGTTCCTGGAGGAGTGGGGAGAGGAAGAGAAAAATTCCCCAAATCACCTCTGGTTAAGAACCACTACCCTACAGAATTCAGCCTATAGTCAACTAGTTCCACCCTTAGTCTCAGAGCTTCCAAACAGCTTTTTAGTTTACCATTCTCAAGTATGAGCAGACAATAAAAGATCACCAGACATTTGAGGAATGCCTCTAAAATGAAAAGCAAACAGAGAAAAATAACTTGGAGATAACAGAGTATGAATGAAAAAGAAAATTTTAAAAATATCAATATCCTTAGTGCAACAGAAGATATTATGTCCATGGAACAATAGGAATGTCCATGAAACAAGAAGAGGATGTTATAATAAAATAATACTCAGAGGGAAAAAAAGCTCTTAGAAATCATAAAAGTACAAATGAAAAACTAAATAGAAGAGTTGGAAGATAAAGTTAAGTAAATCTCCCAGAGAGCAGAACAAAAAGGCAAGAGAAAAAGATTAAAAGAAAAAAAAAAAACAAGAGAGAGAGAGAGAGAATCAGTCCAGGATGTCAAATATCCAAATAATAAGTGTTTCAGAGAGAAGAGAAAAATACAGGAAAGGAAATCATCAACAAATTGTTTTAATTCTCCAGAATCAAAGCACACTGTACCTATCACAATTGTTGCAAAGAAACCTATTTCAAGGTACATCATCATGAAATTTAAGAACACTAGATACAAAGAAAATATCTAATAAGCTTGCAAAGACAAAAACCAGTTACATACAAAGGGGCAGGAATCAGAATAGTTCTGGACTTCGACAACATTGAAAATTAGAAAATCCAAAATTCTGAGGGAAAATTATTTGCAATTTAGAATTCTATATGCAGTCAAACTACCAATAAAACATGAGGACAGAATCTGATACAGGGTGAGAGAAGTGAACAGTCTCCAGAATGTTAATGAAGGGAGATCCCAGGATGAGAACTGCACACAAGATGTGGAGGGCAACAAATCCATATTGAAGAATATTAGAATACTCTAAGGAAGATTTCTTCAGGAAGACAAAACTGATAAAATACCTGGTGCATCCAAACTTATGGAGAGGATATTTAGACAGCTGGTGGAGTTTGGGCTTGGATCAGTAATAAATATACTTTTTTAAAAAAACAAGCAAATAAATAAGATAATTATCAATTCAAAGATGAAAAAATTTGCACAAAGAAAGTGACCACAAGATACTTACTATACGGCTCAGCTACGAACAGTGTTTACATAAACATATCAATGTAAATACTGAATTAAAATTAATCAAATTATCATATAACTATACAGGCGGATGGATAGGTATGGGAAGAGTAAGTGGATGTGGTGGGGACAGGGAAGATGAAACAGAGCTAAATCCTTACTTTTCATAGTAGAAAGTTTACTACATCTACCCAAAATTTTAAAAATCAACAAGTAACAATATAAACATGTTATTTACAGTCATGAAGATAAGTATCAAGTAATCAGCTAAAACATTTAAAATGTTTGCCTCTGCAGAAGCTGAGGGGAGGATCAGGCAAGAGATTGGTTTTTTGGTAGCAAGCTTTATAGAACTACATAATTCTTAAAACTATGTACACAGATAATCCTGACCAAATGATATTTGGACAAACGAGAGAAAGAGTAAGGGGTGACATGATGTGCAATAGGAAGAGATCAAAAACAATGTACTTAATGAAGAAAAGCTAACCTAAATAATGAATGATAGCGAAAAACATACTAAAATGTTTTAAATCGTCAATGTCAGGATGTCAGAATAATCCGCAAACCGCAAATTAAATGTTATCTTTTTTTAGTGTTACTATTTTGTTTTAAAGTTGACTTTATGTAGTAAAATATTACAGGAAAGATAAAAAGAAAAATTATGAGATACTCATTATATAATTAATTTAATTAGGTATATTTAGGGTATTACATTAAATTTTTATCTCCCTGATTTAAGAGTTAGAGTTCAGAGAAGGCTTTCAAAACCCATATGATAAAACCTATAAATTAGGATCTCATTAAAAGACTAATTTATTTATAAACAAAACTTGGTATCACAACAAGAGCTCACTTACAAACATCCTCATACTGTTGCTGTAGTTCATCCAAAGTAAATATAATATCCCCAATATCTACCATGTGGTTACCTGTAATAGAAAGAATAAACTCAAATACTGTTCAATTTCCTTTTGAACAGAAATATAGCTGCCATCCTATTCTAATAGGAAAACAACACAGAAATTTGTAGAAGTAGGAAAAGAGGGCCAGCTATTATGAATTTTGAATAATATCTGGAATTGTGAATTAATAACTCAGTACACACTGAAACACAAGACTAAAACCATTAATTTTTTTATCCTCAATAAAAGAGTTTCCCATCAAAAGAAATCAGTTGAATTTTAAGCCTCCAAGCTAGGTAATCAGGATAATATTTTATTCATTTAACAAACATTTTTTTGAGAGTTTACTACAGGTAGTATTTCAAGTATTTACTCTTTTGTCTTCCTCACTAGACTGTGAGGTCCTTAAGGGCAGAGGATGTGTCTCTCATTTGTTTCCCCAATGCCTAGCAAAGTATCTACTTCCTATCACTTAAAAATGATTTTTGAGTGAACAGGATATACTGAAGGCTATAAAGAATAATGCAATGTCTACACTGTGAAGAGCAGAAAACCATTTACTCACCTTCTATGTGCCCAGCACTCTCATAATTATAACTTCCTACCATTCCTGCCCCTGCCCCTGCCTAAGACCATTTTCTTCTTGGACAAAGCATGACACAGGATGGGTCCAGATGCAGTGACCTTAAATAATGCTATTCCAATTGTGCACAGAGGTAGAAAATGCTTTTCCCAATAGTTCTTGCCTCCAAATGTTTGACTTTGCTTGCCATTCAAGGTTTAAAAGATTGCGAGTTGATTTATCTATCTACAAAAATACTGCGTTTGGGGCTGGCCTAGTGGCGTAGTGGTTAAGTTTGCATGCTCTGCTTTGGCGGCCAGGGTTCACAGGTTCAGATCCTGGGTGCAGACCTACACACTGCTCATCAAGCCGTGCCATGGCGGCATCCCATATACAGAGTGAAGGAAGACTGGCACAGATGTTAGCTCAAGGATCATCTTGCTCAAGCAAAAAAGAGGAATACTGGCAACATATGTTAGCTCAGGGCCAATCTTCCTCACCAAAAAAAAAAAAATACTGGGTTTGTTCTTCAGTCTATTCATAATAAATCAAGTGTTCAATTACATGCATAAGTGAAGACCCTTAGAAAAAGAATGCAAGTTTTTAAAATACCTTCTGAATCAAAGAAGAATTATATACAATATAGTTTTGGTGTAGGGTAAGTTTAATTCACTCTGATTCTTTGAAAATTGGTAAGCTATGTCAGGTACAGTCCTTTAAATTACTGCAAAGCAAATATGTACTTGACCCAATCAAAGAAGTGCTAGACCAAATTGATGCTAAGTTGTCTTCTGATTAGGAACTACTTCCTACATTCTGGTTTCTTATTTCCTTGGTATTTATCCTCATTCTGTTCTTGATTATGGTTCTAACACCTCCCATAGGCTCCCCAGTGAATTCTTGGCACTTACTGTAGACTGATTCCATGTCCCAAGTTCTTAGATCACAGCTTAAGTCCTAAAATAAGTCAAGTCCTCAGCCCTCAAGTCCTTGAATTTAATCACCGAAAAGTAATCGACTGGACCATACATACATTAATCCAGAGGAGAAGGTCATATTGTTTTTATCTGCTCTCCATTTAGACAACTCCCTTCTCTGGACAGAGGTCCAATATCAACTGATGAGAATGCAGTAGCCAACCATTTATACAGATTCACTACCTCTTGTTCAAAATTTATTCCTTGCTTCTAGACAATAATACATACCTATCATAAAATTCTCAAATATTACCTATTTAAATAGTCCCAGGTAGTCACAGAAGCATTCCAGAATCTAAAACAACTATTTTGCCCCCTATCTGGCTTATCAAAACCTTAACTAATGATTCCTGGTTGAGACTCATGCAATCAATATGGTTATAGGAACCATTTATTTCATAAGGGAAGCTCAAAACAGCCTCCCACTCTTATATATGTAATTCTGGAGGAAATTCAACCTGGAAAATACAACCATCTAGTGTGAGAAAAAAAATTATCCTAATCACCAAGGTCATATTCAAGGCAACATTACTTTGAAGGTGTTGAGTGACCATTAACACTACATTTCTATAATTTTCAGATAGCCCCACAATATAAAAAACCTCCTCTAGCAAAAATTGTGCCAGTCACTACTTTTCATCCAGATCACTAATCTCCATGAGAGAAAAAATTACTGCACCAATACCCTATTTCAGAAACCAAAATATCTGACACTCCCAGAACTGCCATCAAGTGATTTTCCATATTCCTCTCGTCATATCCTAATGAAGCAAATGCTTGTTGGACTTTCCTGCAAATTCCAATAGCATAATTCTTTCCTCTTCATTATGAACACTTCTAAAGATGAACATATTCTCCACCTATCATCATTACTCTGAAAAACCAAACCAAATAAAAAAACAAGATGCTAGAATAGGACCTGTAGTGCTATTCCTTGTACTAGTGGCATAACTGAGTCATATTACTCTTTACTTCAAAATTCTACTACACAAAAATCCATGTCTCCTACCTGGGTGACCCAAATCTTTGGGCATTCTGGAGTTGTCCTTTCCTTTAACACTTAAGTAAAATAGCTCAGACCCCAGACCATATGCTATAGGAACATAAATCAATACTCTCTCCAAAGTTTGAGGATTCCTGAGTGGCTTATACTCTTGCAGTTGATTTTTGATTTGTCTTCTATTCCCATGGACTCTTAATCTCACTCACATTATCACATATCACTATGGGTGCTATCCTCTCTCCTTACCTAACACAGAACCTATAGATCTTTCTCCTTTAAAACCACCCACCAACAATACTAACAAAAGGCTATCGTATATACCCAGCTTTTACTGATAATTCACCATTAATAGGAGTAACGGAGTTCTTAACAGCACAGCAAGCAACTACATTTTATTGTCCTAAAGTTCTATGGCCACTCTCTACCAATTGCTAGGCCCCCATCCATTCATAGATTCCCTCAGTCTTCTTCCTCCAGCTGCCAATGAGCCACTGTTGTATTCCAAATTCCTGTTGTTTTCTTACATAGAGTACTTTACCTTACCTTTTTGCTCAAACTAGCTGTTTCCCAGTAGGCTTTAATTCCCATAATCAAACATACCTATTAAAAATGATTTTTTCTATTCAAAAGACAAGAACATTCTTTATGAGGAACTTTGCCTCAAAATGCACCCAGCTTATTAATATGACAAAATGAAGAAATCTTGTTCTCCCTGATTGGAGGAGGTGGAGTAAGGGGTGAGAATTACTAATTCATTCAACATATATTTGTTGAGCAGTTAACATGTGCCATAGCCACTGCGATAGGTACTGAGGATACAATATTGAGCAAAAGTAGACAAGATATCTGCTCTCCTGGTGCTTAGTCTTATTTAAGATACAGATGTTAATCAAACAATTAAAAATACAAATTGCAACTGTGATTAGTGCTGTGAGAGTGTAGAATATGAGAATCCAACATAGTCAGAGAGGTCAGGGAAATATCCCTAAAGAACAGAGCTGAGTTTAGATCTAAAGTATAAGTAGGAATTAACTGGGAGAAAAGGAATGTTCCAGGAAAAAAAAAGAACATGTGCAACGGCTATGGCAGGAGGGGGCATAGAATATAGACGAAACTCTCAGAGAGCGAGGGAGAATGTGGTCTGATATAAAGCTGAAGATCTGGGTAAAGGCCAGACATTGCAAGGTCTTGTACACAACATTAAAGGGTTCTTTATCCCAAGAGGTATTATTATATTTTATGCAAGAAGGGTAACATGATCAGATGTGTGTTTTGAAAAGATCATTCTGGCTACAGCGTAAAGGAGGAGGAGGGATAAGACTGGATATGGGTAGACCTGTTAGGATGAGCTCCAAATAGCCCTAAGGAAAGATTATGGTAACTTGGACTAAGGTAGTAATGCTGGAAAACAGAAAGATTTAAGAGATACCTAGGAGTTTAAAATAATAGTACTTCATAACGATTGCATGAGGAGAACAGAGAAGACAGAGTTGTCAAGGGTGATTCTCAGATTTCTGCTTCACTTTTCTTGAGCCTGTTCTAGGTGCTAAACCCAGTAATAAATGCTTGTATTTAATTCCTACAACAATCCTATGAAATTAGTATCATTTGTCCAATCTATCTCCCCAAATAAAGTAGACGACCTGGAAGCCCAGACCAGAATTCCATAAGCCAAAAAGCAAGGTGCTACAGCAGTTTCATATATGATTTTTGTTGTTCCTGGTACAGCATGCCCTAAAGGCTCTTTAATAATATGGCTTGAGATCAGTCTTTAAAATCTCTATTTTATAGACATCTTTATGCCCTAGTACATCTTTCCACTCATGTTTACCACCCCAGAGCCCACCATAAATGACTACCTGGTAGAACTCCGTGCAGCCTGGTTCTATCTCCAGACCACATTTCAGCAACCAAAGGCCCACTACAAAGCCATCATTAACAAATGACAACAACCAGTTGAAGCCCACTGGAAAGGATGCCATGTCTGATTATTTTCCTGCGTATTTATATCAACTATTCCTTCAGTCTAAAACATCTTTCTTGCCCTTCACCATCACCTTCAACCAACTAACCCCTACTGATCCTTCAAGATTTAGCTCAGACATCATCTCCTCCATCTTTCCCTGGTGCTTCCAGTATGCATTAGCAGCCTATATATAATAGTACTAGCTACACAATATTTAGTTTACTTGACTCTTCCTACACTAGAATTTGAGCTCCTTCAGAACAAGAAGTATGTTTTAGTCATCTGTTTATCACCTAGCTTAGTTCCAGGCACAGTAAATATTAAATGATTGACTGACTCATTAAATGAATGGATAAATCAATTAATCAATCACTAATCAATCCATTATTATAGGACATCCCCTGGTCACATGTAAACAAGTAATACAAAACACCTGCTGAATTTATTTATAATATTTAAGGAAATCTACATTTTACAGAGAGTAACTGAATAGCATAGGAAGATTCTGTAATCAAAGCTACATAATAAAGTTGAAAATTCAAGAAATTTAGATCTCCTAACTTGAGCCAGTGCTCTTGACACTACAGAAACTCTCTCTCCACAAAGACAAGAAATGACTATTGGAAAAGAGAGATAAGGTTTAAGAGAAAAAAAATTCCATTTTTCTCTTAGACTTTTACCAAACATACCAAAATATAACAATGTTAGAAATTTCTCATTTAATTGTTCTAGACTATCTCTTACCATAGACACCATAAGCAGTGTTGACAGAAAAAGGCAAGAATCAAGAAGGAAAAGAAGGAGAAAGATGAATCAGAAAATTAATATCCAAGAAAGATATATATACTTATCAATTCAAATAACTCACTGTCAATACTAGCATGTTTTATCACTTCCTGAAAAGTTTCAGGAGTTACAAGGATATCCATGCTATCCAAAACAGTAGCCACTTCATCAATTGCAACCCGACCACCTTTTATCCTACAGAAAATCTTCAAAGCATCCTGGAATGCTGCAAAAAAAACAATAAACAAAGAAATTAATGTACCATGAGAATCAACAGCTTTTCTTGGAGCTGATTTTATGTTAATAACGTACCAGGGAGAAAAAAGTTTACAAAGGCATAGGGTTTTCTAAACATTTACCTGCAAGTGGGCATTTGCCCAAATCTGGCCACATTCCTAATGTAAAATGTAATTTTTGCTGTTATTACTACTACTATAATATTATCAACAATAGCTTTTATTTATTGAATGCTGTTTATGTGTCAGGCACTGTGCTAAAAGCTATGGCTCATCTCATTCAATTATCAAAATAGGCCCATAAAATAAAAATTATCATTATCCCTATATTACAGATAAGAAAACTAAGGCTTAGAAAGTCTCTTGTGATTACACAGATAGTAACTGGAAAAGCCAGAATTCTAATCTAGTAGTCTTATTCAGAATGTTTGCTCTTAATCATTATACTATACTGACCTCTTAGTTAAAACTTTTAACTAAAACAATTTTTTACCAATGGTATAATCTAAAATACCAAAGAAGCTTAATCCAAAATTTGGGGTAGTCATTAATTGCTTAAAAATGTAATCTAGAAAAGACAGTATAAAAGAGAGAATGATGTAGATAAAAAATTTCAGATTTTTTATCATACTACAGAGTTTGGCAGTGGTTTAACTACTATTAAAAGGTCTTCTATTTCTCCATAGAAACCATATTCTTATGCCAACAGTCCTTCGTATCAAAAATGAACTGGAAAGAACATGGTTAGAAGAAAATGTTCATATTAATGAAGAGAATTTTTCCAAAAATAAATGCTTCCTTAAAATTTAAACAGATTGACACCTGTGTCCAAATGCTAAATTTGAGTGCTCCTCAGACCACTGCATCCCTTAATTTACCTTGATAAGGAAACACAATTCCCATAATCAATTCCAGAAAGAAAATCACTTTATAGTCAAACTAGATTTTCTTGGAATTAGGATATAAGCATAATGATCCATAGGTCCTTACATAAGCACAGTCAGAGAGGAAGAACTGGGAACTACTTATTCATTTGATTAGTAGTTACTGATCAGGTGAGAAAAAGTAGGAGAGGAAGGACCTCTGAGAATCTTCTCCTCCATAAAAAGCAATGATAACACTGGCAAAATTGTCAGAATCAACTTTTTTCAAATCTGGAAATCAACCAAGGGCTTACATCAATCCAAGAAGTGTTTTTTCAAAAGAAATGGCTGAATCACACTAAGAACAGTGAGCTTTGTGGCATTTTAACTTGCCATATTCCCATCTCCCCATCCCAGCCCCCCAGGAACCTTGAAAACAAGAGCCGACAATCATGATGAATACTAGCAGCCTGACAATCAATGGAGAAGAATGAGGTTGGAACTTCTTCAAAGCCCCATTCCCTGAGAACTGTCATTATTAGACCTGTCTGGTGGTTCCCAGTGGGAAGTGGGAAGATCCCACTTGCAAAGCTACCTTTATTTGACCTGACTCAAAGCTTTCCCAGTGCAAATAGCCTTTTCCCTGGGAGCATTCATCAAAACTTTTCCCTGGGAGCATTCATCAAAACCAATCAGAGGCAATTGTTTAACATTACAACTGCCTGACGTGGTAGATAAAAGCTGAAGCAAACAATAGGCTAACAAATAAGCTTAAAAGGAAAATCTGGGGGCCGGCCCCGTGGCTCAGCGGTTAAGTGCGCGCACTCCGCTGCTGGCAGCCCGGGTTCGGATCCCGGGCGCACGCCAACGCACCGCTTCTCCGGCCATGCTGAGGCCACATCCCACATACAGCAACTAGAAGGATGTGCAGCTATGACATACAACTATCTACTGGGGCTTTGGGGGAAAAAAATAAATAAATAAAATCTTTAA